CATCAATAGCACCACGACCATGATGCTGTTGCCACTACTTGATGGTGGTGGTGTTGGTGGTGGTGCTGGTGCTGGTGCTGGTGCTGGTGCTGGTGCTGGTGCTGGTGCTGGTGCTGGTGCTGGTGCTGGTGTTGGTGTTGGTGTTGGTGTTCGTGTTGTTGTTATTATTTTTGTTGTTGGTGGTGGTGGCTCTAGTGCTGTTGCTGTTGCTGTTGCTGCTGTTGTCGTTGTTGCAGTTGTAATCATACTAGTAACAGTAGTGCAAAGTCTGGCTTAGTAGTACTACGTAGCCAGGTAAATTTTAGCCCTCAGTCCCAGCCCAAATCCCACACATTCTTCGTCCAGACCTCACGCAACAAACTGAGGTTGCCGGCGTCCGTTCGCAAGCTCTGCAGCGAGCTTGGTCTTCTTGACATCAGCGTCCTGCCCAATTCCATAAGGTTGAGGGGGACTGGAGGAGCAGAGAGTCAATTTATGTGTACAAAAGTCGAGATGCTGGGCTCCGCAAATATGGCAAAATCAGGGCTTCGCACAGCTGACTGCAGCTGCAGGGCTGCAGAGCACCCACAACTTGGCAAGAAGTGCACGATGGTTGTTCAAGTGCTCGCCTTCTTTGCCTCTCCTCATGCGCAATCCAGGCTCCGGAACGGAGTTTACAGCTCCGGCCCTTGAGTCGAAACTGGGTATTGCGCGGAGGAAGCGCCCCCCGCCCCGCCCCCCCACCCCCCTGAGCCGAGCAGCTTGTGTTGGAATTGGGCCTTGGCGCAGCCCACTTCGCTCGGCGGATCACTCGGCGAGGTAAAGCCGCAGCTCTTTGTGTGGGGCAGAGGCATTGACTCAACACCCATCGTCGCACTGCAAAGCGCCCATGATGCAGAAGCAGTAAAGTAGCCGTCGTGTGGGAAGCGGGGAACGAGGAGCACTCGTAGAACTGAGAGAAAAACCTGAACACGGAGCGACATCAGCAGCAGTAGCAGGAGGAGGAATGACACACCCATCATACAATAATTGGGGAACAGCAAGTGCTCAAGAACTATGCATGAGGACATGAACCAAAGCAAGGAGAGGGCAACCGGATGCTGGCAACAAGGGTTACTAAATGATGGCAGTTGCAGCAGCAACTGACTCCTCATCATATTGAAGCACCAATCTCGTCCAAATAGACACTCGATCACCGTAAAACCCATCCTGGAATTCGATCGGGTCCACGTTGATAATGAAGTTCTTGCCCACACCCAGGAAGCCATAGCCTTCTTGCCAACATTGAACGGGCATGTTGTGCAGGTGCCGATTGCTTTCAAGATTCTCAGCTTCAGCTGGCATCGAAGGTTTGGGGCTGTGGGGCTGGCAGAGTGGCTGTTCGAAGCACAAGACCCTTGCTTGCAATGTTCGCTCTTCTCATTGCTACTTTGCTTCTCTGCCTACCAGCTCTCCACACCTTGATACTCACATCTCAACACTTAGGGCTTCTGTTTCACGAAACGCAGCACTATTTTTAACGGAACCACAAGAGAACCTCTACGTAAAGCACAAAGCCGCTCATACCACTTCCCAGGCAGAAGCCTTCGAAGTCACCAGGCGCTCGCTTGGCATCTTGGCGCCAGAAACTGGGCGTGGGTTCGCTGAGAAGTGTGGGAGGGGGTTGGGACTTGGGGCTGAGGGGTCGAGGCTGTGGGCCTTGAACTTCGAGTTTGGAGTTCGGTTTCGGGTTGCAGCGTTTAGGGCTTTTGCCGAGTTTGAGGTTGTGTACCTGCAAGTTTCGGTTTGGGACGGGGTTATGGTTTTGAATGTGCCTCAAACCCTCGATACAGACTCGTCAGTCAAGCCAAGCCTCTCTCCTGAACCATCGCTACCCGAATCTTGACAGGTAGCTATCCCTCGTAGTGGCCGATGAAAAGAACGATCTGCAGCCAGCCCTCGAGAGGAACCTGTCCGCAGTCGCAGTACTAGTGTAAAACTCGGGGCGCAGTCGCTTCGTGGATTGGGGTTTCGGTGTACCGGCTTTTGGAATTCCCTTCTTGATATTCTGGCTTGAGGTTTTCAGTTTAGGCGGTAGTGGGTCTGGGCTCAAACGGAAAGTTGATAAGAGAAGACTGGGAAAATGCATGAGAGAGGCCAGGATGCCGGGCATGTGATTCAGGACCGGATACTATCTTCATCGTTGGTACAGCACGAATCGAACTATTCTGGTCGGGATGATGATCATCATGATGGTGATGACGATGACGATGACGACGACGATGATGATGATGATGATGAGAAGAAGAAGATGACAACGACGATGACGACAGTGGTGATGAATAATAACAATAATGATCAAATGATGATTCTGATCATGACGACGATGACGACGGTTATAAGGATGATGATGATGGTGATGATGATGATGATGATCTTGATGGCGATGATGGCATGATGGTCATGATTTTGATCATGATGATGACTGCCGTGATTGCCATGACGGTGACGACAAAGATGATGACTGCCGTGATTGCCAATGATGGTGACGACAACGATGATACCTCGTATGACAATGGTCATGGCTAAAGGGTCAAATCTGGGCGCATTGCGATTCGTAGCACATTCACCGTACAATAGGCGAACATAACAGCCTGGCGGCCATCCTACCTTGTGGCCCTCTGATACTATTCCGTTTTCTGGCTTTCTCGTCAATGGAGATCGTCGTGGTAGTAGCAGTGGCAGCGGTAGCTGTAGCGGTAGCGGTAGTGGTAGTGCCACTTCTAGCGCTAGTTCTGGTGAGCAGCAGCAGCAGGAGCAGGAACAGGAGCAGGACCAGGAACCGCAGCGGTAGCCGTAGCAGTAGCCAAAGCCGAGTAGGAGTAGGAGTAGGAAAAGGAAGAGTAGGAGGAGTAGGAGTAGGAGTGGGAGTAGCAGGAGCAGTAGGAGTAGGAGGAGGAGTAGGAGAAGGAGAAGTAGCAGGAGTAGGAATAGGAGGTGAGAAGGAGTGGGAGAAGTAGGAGGAGTGGGGAGCAGGAGTTGGAGCAGGAACCAGCAGCAGCGGCAGTAGCAGTAGCAGTAGCAATGGCAGTGGCAGCGGCAGTGGCGATGGCGTGCTAGTGATAGTGCTAGCGTGCTAGTGCTGGTGCCAGTCGTCGCGGTCGTAGTGTGCAGTATTCCACGAGAAAAGCATGACATGCTTTTGAATTGATCTTCCCATCCCGCGGCTCGTCTCTTAGTGCTTGTTTGAGCTTGCAGTGCGGCGCACAAGCCTTCGAGATCGCTGCGATGCCGTGGGGCATCTCCGAAAACTTGAGGCCCTGTGGCGGCGGTGTGATTGAAAAGGGAGGCAGGCAAGGGTTTTGTCAGGGTTCGAGTTGTTTAGTTAGCATGAAGCTCCAGTACGGCTAACCTTGATTTCGAATCCCTCCCCCCTCCCCTGGCACTCAGACTCCAAGCAGGATGCTTTGGGATGTCGGCGCTTTGGAGCTTCATGCACTGGGCCGCCAAACTTTGATTCAAGACTTGCAAAAACAGGGATGCACGAAACCTCCGCCCAAGCATAAGCCAGAGGCCTAGAGCCCCTTCGGGCCGACCTCTTCAAAGCCACCAAGATTGGCCGAAAATCCTCCCGCAACCATAGGACTCTGGAACTCAAAGCCAAATCATGAACAGAACAGGACCGGGACCCGTCTCAAAGCCTGAGGCCCCAGGCAAAAACACAAAAAAACACACGATCCCCTAAAAACAAAACACACACACACACAAAGAGCTCGCCTTCTCGGGGGAGAGGTAGCCGGGCCAGCGGAAGTACTCCGGGATGATGTAGCCCACGCAGGCAAGCATGCAAATGCGCCTTAATTTTTAGGAGATCTCTATCTAAGGATCCCTCAAAACTCTTGCTATGACTACTAGTCTTTGCACTCGTTTCCGTTAGGAATACTACTATAAGAAGCATGAGTGCCCTTTTCGTTTTCTAGCTATTGCTACTGCCATTAAAGGCCTGTCAATGGCTCGAGTCAGCGCTTTGCTTTGGATTCGGGTCGGATCTTTGCTATCAAACTTGCTGATGCTTTGCTCTCCCAATCTCTTTGCCGACTGCGATTAGCAACCACCCTTGCGTTTAACATTCAGGGCACAATTTTCCGGAAGTGAAAAGCTCAGGGCTGCACCCGTGCTTCAGCTCGACAGCGCGTCGGCGCTTGAAGGTGTCCTTGGCTTCGGTGGCTTTGAGAGTTTGGGGTCGCGGCACCTTGGGTTGCAGTACAGCAAGCCTGAAGGACACATTTAACGCAGTCAGGGTTGGAGTTTGTCCGTAAAAAGCATGTTAAGTGTTAGGCTTCAGAGCATCTGAGGTTTAAGCTGCAGCTTCAGGGTGTGAGTCGGGGTCACGGCCTCTGCACCGTTTGGGCTTCGGCGGCTTCGGATTTGGGGATTGAAGGGTTTTGGGTGTAGGGCACCGGACTCTGGTCTCGCGGCATTTGGCTTGTCTTCAATCCTCCGAGACAAGGCCGGTATGGGTCCTACAATCCGATCTGCACGCATACCCAATCGCAGAAAAACTTCAAAAACCAGGAACCCTGCTTAAGTACCGCTGCAAGCCTGACAAGGAAGGCCCTTTCCAAGCCAGAAGTCCATGTCGCCATCGGCGGAGAGGCCCAACGGGTCCCAAAATCCGACCTCGAACAGACTGGTTAGTAGCAGTGAAGGCTGCTGGGCAAAGGGAGCCTGCTCACGCGGACTTGGTCATGTTTCGGCCATGGATGCTTCGGAGAAACGGCGGTTATCATGGTTCGGCTATGGATGCTCGTGGGGAAAAAGGATGCATAAGATGATCCGACGTGACTTCTATGTAACGTTGAGTGAACGTTGTAGCTGTGACTTTTGTAGGGCATCCAGGAGCAAACTGAGCTGGTGCAGTGCACGTTGACTGCCACTTCCGGTAAGCTGCGTGTATCAGTTGGAGAGAGCTACTACTACTACTACTACTACTACTACTACTCCTAGTACTGCTACTACGTATTACTACTACCACTGCTGCTGTTGCTGCTACTATTGCTAGTACTACTACTACTACTGCTACTACTACTACTACTACTATTACTACTATTACTACTATTACTATTATTACTACCATTACTACCATTACTACTACTGCTGCTACTACTACTACTACTACTACTACTT